AAGGCAAGGCAAGTTTATTTGTATAGCACAATTCATACACAAGGCAACTCAAAGTGCTGAACAAGATAGCATTAAAATCATAAATAATCACAGAACATTAAAAAGAAATATAAAAACATAAAATCCCTCAGTTGTATCCACAGCTAAACAGAACTGTTTTAAACCTGGTTTTAAACATTGTCAGAGAGGAGGCCTGTCTCACATCTTCAGGAAGATTGTTCCAGATTTTAGCAGCATGAATCTGAAAAGCAGCCTCCCCATGTTTAGTTCTGACTCTGGGCACTAACAGGAGTCCAGTCCCTGTGCTCCTCAGAGTCCGGGCTGGTTCAAATGGGACTAACATGTCACTAATATATTTTGGTGCGAGGCCATGGAGAGGCTTGTACACAAGCTGAGCTGTTTTAAAGTCTATTCTCTGAGCAACAGGAAGCCAGTGCAGAGACCTGAGGACCGGACTAATATGGTCGTACTTCCTGGTTCTAGTCAGGACTCGAGCTGCTGCATTTTGAATGTACTACAGCTGTTTTACAGCCTGTTTGGAGAGACCTGTGAGCAGGCCATTGCAGTAGTCTAACCTACTGGAGACAAATGCATGGATAAGAATCTCCAAGTCTGCTTTAGACACTATGTTTTTGATCCTGGCAATGTTTTTTAGATGGTAAAAAGCTGCTGATGTTACTGATTTGATGTGGCTATTAAAATTTAAGTCTGAGTCCAGTATTACCCCTAGATTTCTGACCTTGTTTGAAGGTTTTAGGGAGAGAGACTGTAGATGACAGATGACGCTCTCTCTTTGTTTCTGGGGACCAAAGACAATCATTTCAGTTTTGTCTGCGTTTAGCTGAAGGAAGTTGTTTTGCATCCACTCACTGATCTGTTGGATACAGTGAAGGAGTGAGTCCACTGGTCCATGTTCTCCTGCAGTCAGTGAGACATAGATCTGAGTGTCGTCTGCATAGTTGTGATAGGACACTTCGTTTCTGCGTATTAACTGACCTAACGGCAGCATGTAGAGATTGAACAGAAGAGGTCCCAGGATCGACCCCTGTGGTACTCCACAGGTCAGGGCCATATGATCTGAGACACAGTTTCCAATCTCCACAAAGTACTTCCTGTCTTCAAGGTAAGACCTAAACCAACTTAGGGCGGTGCCAGCAACGCCAACCCAGTCCTCTAGTCTCTGTAAGAGGATCTCATGGTCGACAGTGTCAAAGGCAGCACTTAGATCTAACAAGATTAAGATGGAGACTTGGCCTGCATCAGTGTTCAGCCGGATATCGTTTGTAACCTTGACGAGAGCAGTCTCAGTGCTGTGGTGGGGTCTAAAGCCGGACTGAAACATATCAAATGAGTTGTTGATTATAAGAAATCTATTTAGCTGTTGGTAGACAACTTTTTCAAGGACTTTCCCCATAAATGGCAGATTTGAGATGGGACGATAGTTGTTAAGTACCGTAGCATCCAGTCTGCTCTTTTTTAGCAGGGGCCTGATGACTGCAGTTTTCAGGGCCTTTGGGAATATTCCAGAATTAAGGGACATGTTTACTATCTGTGTGAGTGAAGGTAACAGACTGCTCAGAACAGACTTTAGAAATCTAGTGGGTAGTACATCCAGGCTGCATGTGGAGGAGCTCAAACTGGAGATTATCTCTTGGACAGTTTGATCATTTACAGGTGCAAAGTAAGTTTGCTCAGAGAGCCTTTCTGGTTTTGGATGGTTATCTGTGGATTGGAGACATGGCGTTTTTGATGCCTTGAACCTTGTCATTGAAAAAATGTGCAAACTCATTACATTTACGTTTGGAAGTTAGGTCTAATGGCATCTGAACAGGGGGGTTTGTTAATCTATTAACTGTTGAAAACAGAACACGCAGATTGTTGCTGCAGCCTTCAATCATTTCAGAAAAATACCTTTCTCTCGTACTACGTAGCACATGGTTAAACTCGCACAACTTATCTTTGAAGATCTCATAATCAACCTGGAGGTTGGACTTGCGCCACTTCCGCTCGGCCCTCCGGCACTCTCTCTTTTGTGCCCTGACCGAGTCTGCTTTAGCCCACGGCGCCTTCTGCTTATTTTTCACTTTTAACCTTCACAGGGCAACGGTATCCAGAACATTCAAAACACTAGAGGTGACAGAGTTAAACAGTTCATCTACAGTAGAATACGATGCATTCTCAAAGTTTATCATTCCCATAAATAGTTCACCCGTATTTTCATTTATGTGTCTTCTTCGTACAGTTGCAGAGTCCACTGGTGGTTTGTTAGTGAAACACATGTAAAAAAAATACACAAAAATGATCCGAAAGCGCAACATCGACCACGTTTACATTAGAAATGTTCACCCCCTTTGTAACTAACAGGTCTAGAGTGTGCCCTCTGCTGTGGGTGGGGCCACTCACATGCTGAGTGAGACCAAAAGATTCAAGAACAGAACTCAGCTCTTTTGCATTTCTGTCAATAACATTATCCACATGAATATTAAAATCCCCTGTAATAACTAAGTTATCAAAATCTGTGCATACAACTGAAAGCAACTCTGTAAAATTATCAATAAAACTGTGACATGACTGCGGTGGCTTGTATAGGACAACGAAAAGTATTGGAGGAGATTGTTTTTGTTGTATTTTAAAAGACACATATTCAAATGACGTAAACTTCCCAAGAGACATTCTATGGGAGACAAAGTGGTCTCTGAAAATGGCAGCTAAGCCTCCTTCTTTTTTGTTTCCCCGTATTTCAGATGGTGATGCTTCTATTAAAACTGCATTTTCTGTATTTTGGTCAAGCCATGTTTCAGCCATGAACATAAGATCAAGATTATGAGAGCAAATAAAATTATTGATTAAAAAAGACTTGTTACAAAGAGATCTGACATTTAGCATAGAAAGTTTCAAAGTTTCAGGATCAGCGGTTGTGGTCGGCTGATTCTTACACGGAACAAGAATTAGATTTTTCTGATCTGTTATGTATTCTTTGTGTTATCACTAAGGGAATGGCACAGGTGGCTTTATGACAGGGCCCCAGCCGGGTCTCTCCTCTAACTAGACTGCCAGTGGCTGCGAAGCAAAGACCCTGTGCATCCTAGTGTTTAGAGAAAAGAGGGGAAGGGGAAGGCGGGGGAGGAGGATGGAGAGGCGGGTGGTTCTTGGGAGTAAAACCATGCATATTATTTTTTCACAAGAAGAATTTATGTGCAGGTTTGAAAATAAATAAATTGATAGAAACCCGGCTCTCATATCACTACATGCTCGTTGTCAGTTCACCAACCGTGATCACATTTCTCTTGGCTCTTGTTACCTGTATTTTACCCTTTCCAGCATTCTCTGTATACCTGTACCTCTGGACCCAGCCCCGATGCTTACTTCCACCAATACCTACCTACTCCTACACCTCTGCACCCCAGGACCCTACCACCCCAACACCTACCTGCACCTCTGAACCCAGCCTCTGCACCCCTGGACAGACTGAATGTTTGTCATTTGTCACTTGTTTGTTTGATTGAACTCAAACAATATCGCTGCTTATGTGAGTCCATAAATTGTGCATCCTGTGTAGATTCTAGACAGTGCAGGTGTTCTGTCGAGTTGGTCTGCCCGTCGAGATGATCTGGCTCAGCTGTTAATGATGTAATGCAAACCTGCGCATACACGTCTCACGGCAGCCGAAGCAATCCAAGATGGCGGACATGTAGTCCGCGAATTGCTTTAAAAGTTTAATACAAACGAATTAAGACACAAATGTCATTTTTAATGCAATTTGAGGCGAGATGTTGATGGTTCCGCGTTGTGATATGTCGGATTTAAGAGTAAGAGTTTCGTGTAAAGTTTGTTTTAAGCAGTACACTGCTCCTGTGAAACTACACTGCTGCTGTGTGATCGCAGTCCCTGAGTTTATTTATATTTTTTATGTTTATTTTTTTCCCTGAGTTGACTGCTGCATATGTCAGGCCCATGACGCGTCCTGTGACTGGTCTGTCGGGTTTGATAATGGAAAAAATAAATTACATTTTATGCATGTACCATACTGTATTCAATATGATTAATAATAGTGTGTTCAAACGAAATATTTAATTAGATTGAGTTTTTTCCCCCATTCTGGCGGGTTGCTGCGCATGCGCAAGTCAGATTTGGGCACACTAGCAGTGTAGTTTCACAGGATCAGTGGACTGCTTAAAACAAACTTTACACGAAACTCTTACTCTTAAATCCGACATATCACAACGCGGAACCATCAACATCTCGCCTCAAATTGCATTAAAAGTGACATTCGTGTCTTAATTCGTTCGTATTTAACTTTTAGCAGCTTTGGCTGCCGTGAGACGTGCAGTGCTGGTTTGCATTACATCATTAACAGCTGAGACAGATCATCTCGACAGGCAGACCAACTCCACAGAACACCGGAGCACTGAGTTAATATCCTCTCTTCTGCATATCTCCTGCTGTGGCCTATGTGTCATCACTTTTTTCGTTTTATATTTATTTGAATTGGGACAGTGCACATTAATCAACATGTGTGGTTCAACATGTAAATGTGATAGAGTTAGCCATGTAGGCTAATTTCAAATGTATTTATTATTTGTTGAAACTTTTGATGTTTAGGTATTTGATCTATTTACAAAATGTATTGACTGTGAAAACATGGAAATACTTTATATGTTTGGTGCTGGTGCATTTTATAAAAATCCATGTCAGGCGACCAATGCAACTTCCAGAACTACCTCCAGAGGGCAGTGCAACGTAATGTTTTCGTAATGAGACGATGAAAATCATTTTTTTTAAGACACAACGATTCAACAAACAAAAGATGGTCAGACAGACATTTTTTATTTAGTCCTTTTTTCTCTTCTATGTTGTTGAACAAAAATGAATTGGCCATTGACAATTAATATGAAAATGTTCAGAATCAAAACAGATGAGACAAGTCTGAGGAACTACAACTGTTAAAATAGGAGATATACCACATACAGCTTCATGATACTCCCTCCATTTTAACATTATCATCCTCTGAGCTCCATGAAAGGTTCCAGACACTCCATTCCACAGCCGCTGTAGCAGCAGAGAAGATCGCCTTCACACTTGTTGTGATTATCACATGTAGCATCACATTCGGCGAAATGAGGGATTGGCTTAGGGCAGATTCCCTTTTTCCTTTCTGTGAAAATAAAAATAACTTCTTAATTTTCAAATGGCATATGGTTTACTATAATGATATTATTTATATTCAAATGTATATATTAGGTATTCTCAAAACTTTCACTTGTCATGTTGTGGATTCTTTGTTATTTGGTGCTTGATTTTATTTTGACATCAGTTCATTTGTGGTTTCCTTGTTGTCTTACCTCCTGTCTCTGTTTTGGCTGTCTGCCCCGCCCTAATGTACGTCACCTACAGTATGTATCTCTGTGTCTATATGTACCATGTGCTCATCTGCATTTGCTGCTGGTCCCTTGTCTTTGTCAGACTCTCTTCCTGGACTTTGATTTCATTCCAGCATTAAATCATATTATTTTGCCATTACTGCATTTTTGTCCCTCTTCTGTTTTCACCACTTAAAGACAACTTAATTAATGTTTATAAAGTTAAGCTCCATAACAAAGATAAATGCTAACTGACCAGCCTAGTTATTTTAACGTATGAAGTACAACTGTGGAAAATCTTAATCCTGGTATCTCCTCTATGGCATTGAACATATTGTGTGTATTACCCAGTGGTTTCCTGCAGATTTTCTCACAGCCGTCGAAGCAGCATTTCAGGCCATCTTTACAGTCATAGTCATTGTTGCACTTATCGTCACGTTTACAATCCAAACGAGTGAACGGAGCTGGGCATCTTCCCCTTTTTTCTGTAAACAAAACAGGATCAAAACAGATTCTTCTCAGATTTTGTCATTTTTTTATGATGACAATAATTCATTATAACAAAATCCACATTATTGTTGTCAAAATACTGAAATTACATACTCGATTCAGTTACTTTCCAAAATCTTTCATTGTCATTGTCCAAAAATTATGATTTGGACAATGACCTGCAATTTAAATTACAGTACAACATATACTACTTCTTATAGTAATATAAGAGATCCTTTAATCGTCCCACAGAATAAAGGTTTTCATGTCTTATAAATGGCCTCACAAGGTTTTATACTATGGACAGCACGACAACGAAAACCGTGACGTCGCCCGGCATGGCGCAGCCGGGGCCCCACCCTGGAGCCAGGCCTGGGGTCGGGGCTCGCAAGCGAGCGCCTGGTGGCCGGGCCTTAGCCCACGGGGCCCGGCCGGGCCCAGCCCGAAGGGATGACGTGGGCAGTCCCTCCTGTGGGCTCACCACCTGCAGAGGGGTCCGTGGTGGCGAGGTGCAGAGAGGACTGGGCAGCAGTCGAAGGCGGAGACCTCGACGACCCAGTCCACACACCCAACATCTGGCTCTTGGGACGTGGAACGTCACCTCACTGGGGGGGAAGGAGCCCGAGCTTGTGGGGGAGGTTGAGCGATACCGACTAGAGATAGTCGGCCTCACCTCCACACACAGCTTGGGCTCTGGAACCCAACTCCTTGAGAGGGGTTGGACGCTCCACTTTTCTGGTGTTTCCCGCGGGGAGAGGCGGCGAGCTGGGGTGGCCATACTCATTGCCCCCCATCTCAGCCGCCACGTGTTGGAGTTCTCCCCGGTGAATGAGAGGGTCGCGTCCCTCCGTCTCCGGGTGGGGGACAAGTCTCTCACTGTTGTGACGGCCTACGGGCCTAACGGTAGTGCAGAGTACCCGGCCTTCTTGGAGTCCTTGGGAGGGGTACTGGACAGTGCACCGCCCGGGGACTCCGTTATTCTCCTGGGGGACTTCAACGCCCATGTGGGAAATGCCAGTGACACTTGGAGAGGGGTGATCGGGAAGAGCGGCCCCCCTGATCTGAACCCGAGCGGTGTTCAGTTGTTGGACTTCTGTGCCAGTCACGGCCTGTCCATCACGAACACCATGTTTGAGCACAAGGGTGTCCATCAGTGCACGTGGCACCAGGACACCCTAGGCCGGAGGTCGATGATCGACTTTGTAGTCGTATCATCTGACCTTCGACCGCGTGTCTCGGACACTCGGGTGAAGAGAGGGGCGGAGCTGTCAACCGATCATCACCTGGTCGTGAGTTGGATCCGCTGGCAGGGCAGGAGGCCGGTCAGACCTGGCAGGCCCAAGCGTGTAGTGAGGGTTTGCTGGGAACGTCTTGGTGAGCCCCCTGTCAGACGGACTTTCAACTCACACCTCCGGGAGAGCTTCTCCCAGGTCCCGGCAGAGGAGGGGGACATCGAGTCCGAGTGGACCATGTTCTCTTCCTCTATCGCCAATGCGGCGGCTCGTAGCTGTGGTCGCAAGGTCTCTGGTGCTGGTCCCGGCGGCAATCCCCGAACCCGGTGGTGGACACCGGCAGTAAGGGATGCCGTCAGGCTGAAGAAGGAGTCCTATCGAGCAATGATGGTTCGTGGGACTCCTGAGGCAGCTGTCCAGTACCGGCAGGCCAAACGTGCCGCGGCCCGGGCTGTTTCAGAGGCAAAAACCCGGGACTGGGAGGAGTTCGGAGAGTCCATGGAGCATGACTATCGGTCGGCCTCGAAGAGGTTCTGGCAAACCGTCCGGCGCCTCAGGAGGGGGAAGCAGTTCTTTGCCAACACCGTGTATGGTGCGGGTGGAGGGCTGCTGACCTCGACTGGGGATATTGTCGGGCGGTGGAAGGAATACTTCGAGGTTCTCCTCAATCCCCCCGTCACGTCCTCCGTCCAGGAGGCAGAGGCTGAGGATGTTGGGGCGGATACTTCCATCTCCCTGGCCGAGGTCACCAAGGTGGTTGGCAGCCTCCATGGTGGCAAGGCGCCGGGAGTGGATGAGATCCGTCCTGACTATCTAAAGTCTCTGGATGTTGTAGGACTGTCTTGGCTGACACGTCTCTGCAACATCGCGTGGCGATCGGGGGCGGTGCCAATGGAGTGGCAGACCGGGGTGGTGGTCCCTCTCTACAAGAAGGGGGACCGGAGGGTGTGTTCCAATTATCGTGGGATCACACTCCTCAGCCTCCCCCGGTCTACTCCCAAGGTACTGGAGAGGAGGCTACGTCCGATGGTCGAATCTCGGATTCAGGAGGAGCAGTGTGGTTTTCGTCCCGGTCGCGGAACACTGGACCAGCTCTATACTCTCCATCGGATACTCGAGGGTTCATGGGAGTTCGCCCAACCTGTCCACATGTGCTTTGTGGATTTGGAGAAGGCGTTCGACCGTGTTCCCCGGGGTGTCCTTTGGGGGGTCCTCCGGGAGTACGGGGTCCGGGGTCCTCTGCTGAGGGCTGTTCGGTCCCTGTATGACCGGAGCCAGAGCTGTGTTTGCATTGCCGGCAGTAAGTCAGACCTGTTCCCGGTGCATGTTGGCCTCCGCCAAGGCTGCCCTTTGTCACCGGTTCTGTTCACTGTATTTATGGACAGAATCTCTAGGCGCAGCCAGGGGCCGGAGGGGGTCCGGTTCGGGAACCACAGGATTTCATCTCTACTTTTTGCGGATGATGTCGTCCTGCTGGCTCCAACGAACCAGGACCTGCAGCATGCACTGGGACGGTTTGCAGCCGAGTGTGAAGCGGCTGGGATGAGAATCAGCACCTCCAAATCCGAGGCCATGGTGCTCGACCGGAAAAAGGTGCCTTGCCCTCTCCAGGTGGGTGGAGAGGTCCTTCCTCAAGTGGAGGAGTTCAAGTATCTCGGGGTCTTGTTCACGAGTGAGGGGAGGATGGAGCGTGAGATTGACAGGCGGATCGGTGCAGCGTGCGCAGTGATGCGGTCTCTGTATCGGACCGTTGTGGTAAAGAGGGAGCTGAGCCGAAAGGCAAAGCTCTCAATTTACCGGTCAATCTTCGTTCCCTCCCTCACCTATGGTCATGAGCTGTGGGTAATGACCGAAAGAACGAGATCGCGGATACAAGCGGTCGAAATGAGCTTCCTCCGCAGAGTGGCTGGGCGCTCCCTTAGAGATAGGGTGAGGAGCTCGGTCACACGGGAGGAGCTCGGAGTAGAGCCGCTGCTTCTCCACGTCGAGAGGAACCAGTTGAGGTGGCTCGGGCATCTGTTCAGGATGCCTCCTGGACGCCTTCCTGGGGAGGTGTTCCGGGCACGTCCCACCGGGAGGAGGCCCCGGGGAAGACCCAGGACACGCTGGAGAGACTATGTCTCTCAGCTGGCCTGGGAACGCCTAGGGGTCCCCCCGGACGAGCTGGAGGAGGTGTGTGTGGATAGGGAAGTCTGGGCGTCTCTGCTTAGATGCTGCTAATTTTGCTAATTTTGGATTAGGTAAACAAAATTCAGAACAGTGATAGATCTGTATGAGACGAGCCTAAAACTCTCTCAGTGCCTCGCTTTGTGTCCAATTTCGTCGCCAATTCATTCTTGACTTCCATCTAGTCCGAGGTGTCATTTCCCCATCTGAATGTATTGGAGTTATACAAGGGTCAATAAAAAGTTTTTGTCCCTAAGGAAAAACGCCTTAGGTGTTGCCTTTGATTTTTGACTTTGTCACCTTGTTTTTGATGACCTACAGGGCCACAGGCTCGGACCTACTGTACAGAGCTGAAACTCACATCACTGATAAAAGGTTATGGCCTGAACGTAATGGCTTAAAAATCAAAACAGCCAATATAATAACGTCTACTACAGGAAGCCTCAGTCCTAAACATACTCCGATCAATCCAAAAATTGCTAATAATAATCTAAGAGTCGAGCAAAACATTACATTACCCAGAAGGTGTATGTCCCACACCTGACCACTAGGAGCACCCTGAATCCTTTGAATGACATTTTTGGAACATAATGCTTGTCTGATAAGGCTACAAATTGATTCACAAATACAGTGTGTGAATTTTAAAACCATCAATATGCAACACGCAACAGTGAGTGCAACAGTACCACCTACAGGAACGTTTTGCATTATAAATTCCATCTTGTACCGGGTTATTCATTGTACTAATTTCTAATATGTCACTTTCCATCGTCACAGATTGAAGTCACACCATTTTTATGCGAGGTTGTAGCAAGAAGTAGCGAGGGCAGTAAATGTTGCTTGCGGGCAATTGTTTTACAACTTTAACTCAGGCTGTGTTATCCAGCATCACAGTAAAGCCGCGTTCAGACCGGATCATGCGATGCGTCGACTTTCAATGCAAAGTCAATGGTGACACGCGTTCGAGCGTCAAAATGCATGTGCGTCTCGGAATGCATGCACGGACTGCGCAGTAGAGACGCACGGACTGCATGGCGAAGTCGCGGGGGAGGAGCAGGAGCGGAAAATCGACGCACGCAGGAGATACATTTTGCTGAGCGTTTCCTCGGACGCTCGTGCAGCGACCAATCAAAGAGCCGCAAAGTGGTCACGGGGACATTTGCGGCCTGAGCGAGCAGACTGAACATAATTTAAACAGCAAAAACAAGAGCTACACCAGGAGTAAAACCAGGGTTGACAATGGGGGACATGGTGCTTGTGAACATGTGCGTTTTCATGCTCCCGTGACTTTATGCAACTGCTTCGAGCGTGTTCGTCGATGCAGAAGTACCGTTTAATAATAAAATAAACGTATGGCGCACCTCCGTGAACACATACCGCTGTTATATAAAGTCTGTGGAAGATCTCTGAACACAGAGACGCTGCAGAGCTGCCTTATTGGAGAAGAGCTTTACACAAAAAGCCGATAGCTTAACTCAGTTAGCATCAAAGTCCGCTGGCTACTTCCGCCGCCTCCGGCGCGCGCCACCGCAGCCCAGGACTTCAGGTGTGAAGTCCCTGCATCTGAAAACTAGAGAATGTGCGTCTGGTGCGTGAGGCTTCAGCGTTCCAGCGTTGGCGGTGTGAAAGCAGCTTAACCCTTTGGCTGGACAGGATTCTTCACAAATCACAAATAATTACAGCTGGCCTGGTAATGCCCGGATGAGCTGGAGGAAGTGTGTGTGGATAGGGAAGTCTGGGCGTCTCTGCTTAGACTGCTCTTACTTGCTGTGTGAGTATGCACAGCAGTAAGTAATACATTTGTGTATTAATTACTACTGCTAATACATTAGTTGTGTTTAAAAGAGAACAAACAAATTGACAGGCTTTTTCATATGTTAATTACAAATCATTGAGTATGAAATTACACTTGGAATGCTTGGAATTAAAACTTGCAGCTAAACAGACGTACCCTTCATGAGTGGCTCCACACAGGTTTTTCCACAGTTGTTAGAGCAGCATTTCAGGTTCTTCTCACAATCATGGTCAGTGGAGCACTGTTCAACACAGATCCCAAAACCCTCTGGAGTTGGGCAGAATCCCTTTTTGGGTACTGCAAATACTGGCATTTTATTTAGTCAATACAGTGTGAATGCATTGTCAAGCTGTCTGATATGTTTAAAGAAAAAATACAAAACTACACATATACCTTTTTTTGGCGTCACACAGATGCCAATGTGCCCACAGGCGTTTTCACAGCACTTCTTATCCTCAGGACATTCCCAGTCCGAGGTACACTCTATCAGGCACCTCACCACGCTGGGATCCATTACCAAGGTGGGTTTGGGACAGACTCCATCTTTGACCAAAGGCACTGAAGGTCCTGTTCAAGTAAACAGTAAATTATAATATAAATACATCATTAATTGTATTTAGAGAGTGCAAATCATTCAGGGTTTTCAATGTGCTTTCTGGAAAGCAATGAAGACGAACAGGTTTTCATGTTAAACTGACCTGCATTTTGGGTTGTAAAAAACAAGCTGTTGACATCAATAGCACTCCCTAAACTATGTTCACTGTTGGAGGTAGAGGGAATGATATGTTTCTTCAATTATATTGTTGTCCAAAATATCACAAAATATTGATTAATTACTACGTTTCGTTTCACCCTAGCTGAAAATCTTTATGGGGGGTCAAGGGCATGCAGGATTGTTTTTAACAAACTGTATAGCACTTTGTATTGCATCTTCTGTATGAAAAATGCTTTATAAATAAAATAAAGAGTGATAGATTGTGTGTAACATAAATGCAAATAAATTGTCACAGCCTGAACACATCATGTATGTTCTATCCTATCCTGGTTTGTTTGGTATAGGGATATAGTGTATATAATTATGTTCATATACATACGTTGTCTTTTACTTTAATTCAAGATTCCAGATTCTGTTTATTTGCCATTTGCCATCAGTAAAACCACATTGGAATACCAGTGCAAAGTACCACTGTGTGCACTAGATAGAGAAGATGTGCATGGAATCCTCTTTGTGTTGGTCTTTTACAAAAGATATGAAGGATGAATACTTTCTGAAGGCACTGTATGGGATAATGAAGGATCTTGAAATAACACACAAGTGAGTCACTAAGACACTGGTCATGGAAGATCTGAGCAGCGTTGTCCCAATATTCTTATTCCTACAGAATTGGGAAACACGGTTTTGTAATTCATGAAAAAGGTTGCAATTCCAACACAGTTTGTCTGCTATGGATGTAAAGACCTTTACATTTTAGAAGCCATATTATTAATGATAATAATAATTTAACTTATGAAGCACTTTTTGCATGCTAATGATTAAATACTTTGAGAATATAACCATTTAGTTTTTTTCCAATAGCTAGGTTTTTAGATGTGGCCCATGAGCAATTCTTTGTTCCTTATAGTCACTTACCTACTGTCGCTGAGAGCTGAGGGACAAAGGCGAGGGCCAGCGTCAGGAGGCAGAGCACAGACAGCTCCATGTTGCTCACTGCTGCAGTCACAGATATCACACTCATGTCCAGCCTCTATTTATTCACCTGAAGAGGAGCCTCGGGGTCAGAGGGAGGCTCCGAGTGCCCGCCCACAAACTAAGGACGATATCATCTACACATGAACATAATGTGGACCACAACTACTACAGCAACGCAAACAACATGGTAGATACTGAGCACAGTTTTATATATTTCAACAGGTAAATAAGAAGGGGAAAATAATATATAAAGCTTACTAAAGTTAATTTTGAGTCATTCCTTCCTGATGCAGTAGGTTCTAAGGACAGTAATGATCCAGGCCTTTTAAGAACAATTATGGTCAGTACAACACATTTATTAACATGTATGGACATCAGTCATCCCACTCCCTATGGAAAATGGCTCATATGTATTTAGTATTGCATTTCTTGTGTTCAAATTGTTGGATTCTATGATCTGATCGACTACTTTGTAAAGTCGTTCAAGACGACTGCCATTGCATATGGTAAACTGTATAAATGAATTTAGATTTCTATTTTTGATTTTATTCTGCTTTAACTTGTTTGCACCAAGAGCCAAAGCAATTTCCTAGTTTGTGACTTCTTGTTGCTCACACGGCAGTAAAAGGATTGTGACTCCGATTGAGGACTATACACAAAATAATGTAGTATAATTGTTTGATACAATTATTGTGTGTGTGTGTGTATATTATATAGAGTGTTTACTATCTCTCACTATCACTATCCCTTTGTGATTCTGCAATAGTTGAGGTCCACATTATGTTTAGATACTTAATAAGAGAAACAAAAAAACATCCTTTGTAATCACTATTTCAACACACACAAAGAAAAATGTCTTCAAAACTCAACAATGTTGTTTGGATGCACTTCCAGATTTAGCTTCCCATTTAGAGCTCCACAGAGAATGAAGATGGTTAAACCTACATTCAAATGTGCTGAACATTACTGTACTGAGAACTGCTGCTTTAGTGTAATCAAACATTGAGGACTAACGACTTTCTATTATTGTTTGTAGGTTTCATTTATCCAGACCAACAGAGCAGAGTGTTACCAAAGAGGACACTGAGTACACTTTTTGGTAAGATAAGAGTGATTAAGTTATGCGTTATAGCAAGTTCATTTTGCAAAATAGTCCACGTACAAACATACAGACGCACGCACACACACAGACGCACACACAGGCAATTTAAAGTGACTCATATACTGTAATACAAACAGATAATTCCACATAATTACAATTTGTTTCATAAGATTGCGTGGCAAGCACAGCTAAACGAAAGAGATAATATTAAAAAGGCTTGTTTGAGACTATGGGAATTCCCAAAATGCCTAATTCACTATTCTCCTAGGACAGGTTTGGACACCCTCGATCAAATGTTTTATGAAATTTAGGTGAATAATCTTCAAAAGAAAAGTAATTCTTTGAGATGAAATGAATAAAGCTCTTTTCATGTGTGGCGAGTCGAGGCGGTAAAGCGTTCATAATACAATATAACATTTCAAAAAGAACGACAAGCAACGCCAGTGCAAGGGTGCCCAAAATAAAGAAATTAACCCTTTAATGTTTTTTTCAACCATAGCATGGATCACTTTTTGAGTCAATATACAGTATACTTGAAGCTTTGAACTGAAATCTGCCTCATTGGGGAATCTCTAACACTTGGCTCGGGCACTTTTACCATCAAACTGCATCTCAACCATTTGGTAAAGGTACGACTTTAATTTATTATATCAGGTTGTATAGTTTAGCTCAGGTTACGTGTTTTTAACATCGCTTCTACATTTTCACATTTAGTCACAAATGCACATCTCATTTCTCGATGGATTCAGGAGCACAGGTAAGCAAAGGAAAAACTAGAGAAACAGCAGTGGGTTGTGATATGTCTCCAGTCATAGCAATAAAAAAAAAAAGTAAAAGTGTTCAGCGTGTTGAAGATACAACCTACTTTAGTAAGTAAGAAAGTAAGTCACCTTTATTTATATAGATAGATTCTTTATTGATCCCCCGTAGGAGAAATTCAGGTGTCCCGCAGAAGAAGACTAAAGCGCATTTTTACAGACCCAAAGCGCTTTACAATGTTCAGAGTTGAGACATTTTTCCATTCACTCCACACCTAGTGAAGACGGAAGTGAGACGCCGAACACACTGATGCATCAAAGCCCCCCATTCAAACACCAGTTTCAGTTTAGTTTATTTGAATCACTCACTCATTTACATTCAAACCTATTGTACATGTTTTAGTGGTAGGGGAAAACAGAGCACTCGGAGAAAACCTAAGCAGACACGGGGAGAACATGCAAACTTCCCTCAGAAAGGCCCTGTTCCAACCGGGATTCAAACCCAGAACCTTCTTGCTGAGAAGCGAGAGTGCTTCCAAGGACTCTAAGGAAAATGCTAAGGGTGTGCCCTTAACAGCTGACAGTTTACAGACCCAACCCGCCCAACCTGCACAGAATACTCCCTGACAAACCTGGTGATAAACAGGTTTTCCTTGAATGTTACATGAGGCATCATTCATCTGACTACACCACCAACAAAGCAGAACAGGGCCTTTCTGAGTGAATTTTGCATGCTCTCTTTGTGTCTGCGTAGGTTTCCTCCAGGTGCTCCTGTTTCCCCTACCACTAAAAACATGCACAATAGGTATGAATGTATTGAGTGAGTGAATGGATGGTGTTGGTTGGGGCTTTGATGCATCAGCGTGTTCGGCGTCTTGCTTCCGTCATCACCGTAAGGAGAAAATGGAAAAACAATCTGAACTCTAACTGAGCTGAGCTACATAATTAAACCTTACTTACTTACTACCGCTGTCTGTGATTACACAGTGACCCTCTGAACTCCAGACTCATCTATCCCCAATACTGCTCCAACCACTGCTGTTTTCTCCTTTTCTCCAAATTAACACTGATATATTTTAGTAGTCAGACACATACCCACATTATAGCTTTGCAGAACTTCAATGTGAGTGTTCTATCCATGTCATGTCATGGCTTATATTTACATTTTAACGAAAGATAATTCAACGTGGTTTGGTTTGAACCACCACTGTCATGCAGGATCTTATACAGGAAGCAAATCCTAGTATAAAGGATGCATCAATATTTCTGAACAATATTGGCTAATGCGAGACAGAGTGTTGGTGACGTTGATGCGAGTAGAAAATGGAGATGGTTTGGGATCATTTCAAACTTTTTCAACCTAACAAGATATCTTTTTTTAATGAAAAGGTGTAAAGGTGGTGACCAAAAAAGGAAGCCGACTGAAACTGACAACTGATGAGAACAATGAAGTGCAGTACTTTAGTTTCTGTAAACTGTTTTTAGACATGTTTTTCACATGTCTCTCTCTGAGAGCCTATTATTTGTTTCTTCTGGGATTCGAAATTTTCGTGCTGTACTAAGAAACCTGATGTACAGATTTATTTGTCGACTGAATCAAAGTCAGAATGTGATCATAATGAGCCTGACCAACATCAGAATCAGTGCCACACGCTATCAGTCTGAACTGTGGCGTCACTGGTACAGTAGTCAGCTGTAATCATGTATGCTTATTTTTATGATTATTGTTGTTTTTGTTTTTGTGTAATGTCTTTCTTATCTGGACTTCGTGTCTGTAATAAAGTTTAATAATATATGATACGCTGCTGGCAAGAGCATGACAGTATGTATTACAATATGGGAGTGCTTCTACAATAGTGGGGTCCGCCCTATTTATCATTTGTTTAAATGTTATTGATTTATAGGTCATTCATTCATTCATTCTCATCCCTTTATTGTCCATTTCTGGGTCAGGGCGGTGGCAATCAAACCTGCCACCCAATTCACATAGCACCAGTCCCTCGCTGATCCTCCTGCAGGTGGTGGGTCCACGGGAAGTGATTTATAGGTATTAAAAGGCAATTTACTCAAAAAAAAAATGGAAATAAGTTAAATGTCTGGTGCAGGTGCATTATATATTTAAAAAAATCCCATGTGGTGCATCTGAATGATTGTCAGGTACCAATGCAATATGCAAAACTAGCACCAGAGGGCAGTGCAGCGCTATGTTTTCATAGTGAGTCGATAAACCAAAGAATTGATCACTTTTTTCAGAGGAATACGAAAGATTCAACAAACAAAAGATGCACAGACAGACATTTTTTATTTAGTCCTATTGAACCAAATTTTAATTGGTCATTGCCATTTCATAGTCTGAGGAACTACAACTATTAAAATAAACCATCAAAATAAGAGATATACCAAATACAGCTTCATGATATTCCCTTGATTTCAACATTATTTTCCTGGTTTGGCCGAGGGGTCATCAGGTTCCATGCACTCCAGCCCACAGCCGCTGAAGCAGCACATGAGATAGTCTTCACACTGGTTGTGATCATTACATTTATCAGCACATGCTTGGAGATGAGGGGTCGGCTCAGGGCAGATCTTATTAATTTTTTCTGTGAAAATAAAAAGAACAAATATAATCTTGTTAAAAGAGCAGTAGGTACAAAATCTGGGCAAAAGTGGCTCCTCTCCCGCTCTCCCTGACTCAGGTTGCCAGATATGCAGACGAATCCAGCTGGGACCACATTAATAACAACTGAATAGACAAGAGTTTTGTCAACAATAAATCTATAACCAACACCTTTTTCACAACGGCCCTTGATAGAAATCCTCATTTTATTCCTGGTTTTGTTATTAATGATTTGAGATTCATAATGAGACCTTTTTAGTACAGCTGCCACTTTAACTCATCACGGTGAGTTCTGGTAACCCGGATCACAGACTTTTTGATTGGTAAAACGGTGGAGGGCGGGACATCAAAATGAAAACAATAACAACATTTAGGGGCTGAAGTTCATTTTGTGGTTTCCTTGTCAACTTATTTCCTGTCTCTGTGTTGGCTATCTGCTCCACCCTTATATGTGTTTCACCTATGTATCTCTATATCTACCAGTGGGGGCGGGTTGGGGTGGAGCCAGAATAAGAATTACTCAACACTTTAGTATGGCGTCTTCTTTCCTCTTGAAAATGGCTTTACAGGATGATCCAAAAGTTGGCTCTTGGTCCAATGCTGAGGAGAGTATAGTGTTTTGGACCAGTCTACTTAAGCTTCCGTGGACTTCTGAAGGCACTCGTCAAATGAATGGGGCTAGTGCTGGCTGATGCAAGCTCCTTATTATAACGATGAAAAACCATGTTCTTGCACTAGGCCAGAAAGAACATTACGACACAACACACACAACCCCTACCAGTGTAATCACTTCCTCAACAATATCCTCCTCAGGCCACCGCAAAGACGTGAAAGAATTCACCAACATCATTCTGCGTTTAACAGTAGCAGCGAAAATGAAAACTTTGCTGTAGTGTGTTCTCTGTTTCTCACGGGAGTCTGTCAGACGTACGACAGCATGCAGTACCCACCGCTGAGTCAAGAGCAAATCAGATCAACCGCAATCAGTTCTTCATCCCTGCAGCATCACCCGAAGCAGATAGTGTACAGAGTTCTGACTTTCTTATACGTTCATTTGAATGAGTTTTGGTATGTTTATGTGAAAAACAATAGATTCCTGTAAAATCTTGAAATGGCATAGGTAATTTTTGTGTGGTTGTTAGCAATAAAATAACTTAATAAGCATGCATAAAGTCCTTAACCAGCCAAAGAGTTGCACCTCTTGAAAAGAGCTGTGTAAAATAATGAACCAGGGTTAGTGTCCTTTTTCTAAAAAATAATATTAAAACAAAAACAATAAAGTACAATTTAAGTAAATTAAAATGTATTTTTGGGGAGACAGTGGCTCAGTTGGTAGAGTATTGGCCTTTGAGCCTAAAGGTCTTGGGTTCGAGCCCACCATAAGACCAACTTCATGACTCCCACTGAAGTCTGCTGCCGTTGTGTCCTTGGGAAAGACACTTAACCACACCTTACCTGAAGCCTTCACTGAAAGATCTCAGCTCCTGTGGACTCACCACCTGCAGGAGGATCAGTGAGGGGCTGGGTGCAGCTCTGACTGCCACCCCCCTGACCCAGAAATGGATTAAGGGGAAGAAAATGGATGAATGGAAATTGTATTTATCTTCTTCTCTTCCTGGTTCCAGTGGTCTGTTTACATTTTAGAGTTTGTTTTACCCTAATTTAGTCCATCATTAAATTATATTATTATGCCATTCCTGCATTCCTTTTATAACTGTGTAATTCAGAGTGTGCTGACGTATGGTCTGCTCGTGTGGTTTTCCAGGTGCATAAAAGCAGAAACGCAGGCGATCCAAAGGGTGGTGAAAACTGCTGGTAAGGTCATAAAAACGTATCTCCCAAAGATCTCCTGTGTGTACACAGGTTTCACAACATTATCAAAGACCGCTCCCATCCAGCACACCGACTGATCTACCTGATTCCCTGCCCGAACCAGTAGAATGGCCAAAAGCCTTTAGCCCCAGGCTGTCAGACTGGTCAATGAACAGTGCCCCCCTTCTCACCTACACAGACCCCCAGTATCCTCCACTTTTACATATCTGCCATAACTGTGAACTGGTCGTGCATTGTTGCAGCTAACATACTCACTTACAGCCTGTTACTGTTCTGCTACTCTACCTCTTCTAGCCCTGTGCTGTTTACATCCTGCCAACTTCTATTGTACGCTCTATTATCAGGGTGATGCTCTAAATGCATCCATCCATTCACCCCTTAATCCATTTCTGGGTCGGGGGGTTGGCAGTCAGAGCTGTACCCAACTCACTGATCACCAGCCCCTCACTGATCCTGCTACAGGTGGTGAGTTCACAGGAGGACGTCTGTTCTATCTGTGACAGCACTTTCAGCGGGGGCTTCAGGCAAAGTGGGGTTGGGTGTCTGAGCCACTGTCGCTCTCAATGCAATTTAGTTGTTTTTGTGACTACAATACATTATTGAATGCTTAATTGAATTTGAATCTTTAGTCCCTCTTCTGTTTTCACCATATGACAGAAATACCTAATTAATGTTGATCATATTAATGAGCTCCATATCTATTCATTATAATTAAGTAAGTAATGTTGGGGCGACAGTAGCTCAGTTGGTAGAGCATTGGCCTTAAGGCCAGAAGGTCGTGGGTTCAATTCCCACCTCTGCACCTTCTCCACCGACTCCCACTGATGACTGCTGTCGTTGTGTCCTTGGGCAAGACACTTAACCCCACTTTGCCCAAAGCCCCCACTGAAAGATCAAGGCTATGCTCACACTCAGAGAGCAGCCGTCCTCCTGTGGACTCACCACCTGCAGAGGGTCAGTGAGGGGCTGGTGCTATGAGACTTGGGTGGCATCTCTGATTGCCACCCCCCTGACCCAGACAATGGATTAAAGGGTAGAAAATGGATGGATGGATGGATGTTGGGGGCGACAGGCTCAGTTGGTAGAGCATTTGGCCTTTGGGCCTGACGGTCGTGGGTTCAAGCCCACCACAAGACCTACTTCACAACTCCCACTGATGATTGCTGTCGTTGTGTCCTTGGGCAAGACACTTAACCCCACTTTGCCTGAAGCCCCCCCACAGGGGGGGGGGGTGGAAGATCAGAACTCACCACCTGCAGGAGGATCAGTGAGGGGCTGGTGCTCTGTGTACTGGGTGCAGCTCTAACTGCACCCAGTACACCCAGTAAGTTTGTGTGTATTTACCTCTCAGTGGCTTCCTGCAGATGTTATCGCAGCCGTTGAAGCAGCATTTCAGGCCGCCTTCACAGTCGTCATCCTCAATATTGCACTTGATTTGGTTGGACTGAGTACAAAACGGAACATTGTTTGAATTGAAGCCAGCAGCAGGGCATCCCTGTTTCACTGTGAACAAAACAGGGAATGTCTTCTCAGATTTTAGTTTAATTTATTATGATGACGATACTTGGACGTCAGAGGAGATAATTGCAATGCCACGCTATTGTTTTTAAGGTAAAGGGAAACTGAACTTTGCCCGCATATAAAAGAACCCATAAAAAGGACACACAGGTTCGGAGGACATAGAAGACAGGAAATGGAGGGGTACATTAACATATGACAGAGCCAAATATTGCCAGGACTGGGGACCCTCTGCAGTACTGGGACAGGCAGGGGCTGTCCCAGTCTTTTTCAAAAGCTGGAGAAGTTGTCTCAAAGAAAAGAAACCGGATGATTTGAACAGCTAAAGTCACAAGAACAATTGATATCCTATCTTTGTCACATCATTTGAAAAGCACTTACACTTTAAAAAAATATCTTTTGTCTTATTGGATTTTTTGAGTGTGTATATATTATATATACTTGTGGTTATATACAGACCAACTTCTGTATACGCATAGGCCTCAAACCTCTAAGCCAAATAATTGACCAGACTGGCTATGGATACCGCCTCAGGAATGGAGCAAAGATCAGTCACCTCCTCTACATGGATGACATCAAGCTGTACACCAAGAGCGAGAGAGACATCGACTCTCTGATCCAAACCACCAGGATCACAGCCATGACATTGAGATGTCATTCGGACTCGAGAAATGTAACAGGATGGTGACTCGGCAAGGTAGTCCACACAAAAGGGATCTCACTCCCAGAGGGAACAATAGCAGACGTTGAGGACAGTTACAAGTATCTCGGTATACCACAAGCAAATGGCAACCTTGAACAGGTGACAAGGAAAGCGGCAACTGCCAAATACCTCCAGCAAGTAAGGCAGGTCCTAAGAAGCCGGCTCAGTGGCAAGAACAAGGCCCGGGCAATTAACAGCTACGCCCTGCCAGTGATCAGATACCCTGCAGGAATAATCAGGTGGCCAAAGGAAGACATTCAGACCATGGACGTTAAAATTCGAAAGCTCCTTACCATGCATGGCGGGTTCCATCCCAAATCCAGCACCCTGAGACTGTACGTAAGCCGTAAAGAAGGAGGCCGAGGACTAGTGAGTGTGAGAGCCACTGTCCAGGACGAAACATCTAAACTCCATAACTACATCATGGAGAAGGCCAAAACGGATGACGTACTCAGTGAATGACTCAGGCAGTGGCGAGATGAGGAGGCGCTGGAGGAGAACCCATCATGGGAGGACAAGCCCCTACACGGCATGTACCACTGGAGCATAACCAAGTGGCTGGCATAGTGTACAGAAACATCTGTGCAGAGTATGGGCTGGAAACCCCAAGGTCTAAGTGGGAAACTCCTCCAAAGGTGGTGGAGAATGAGCGTGCGAAGATCCTGTGTGACTTCCAGATACAGACCGACCGAATAGTAATGGCAAACCAACCTGACATCGTGGTGGTAGACAAAGGGCAGAGGACAGCGTGGTGGTAGACGTGGCAATTCCAAGCGATGGAAACATCCGGAAAAAGTAATGCGAAAAGCTTGAGAAATACCAAGGTCTCAGAGAGGAGCTGGAGAGGGCCTGGTAGAGGACCCGAGCTTAGATAGGGATAACCGCCCGCGGAGGGCGAAAGGTGAGTGTTTTTTATACACACACACACACTTTTTATCATTGTTAAACAATAAACTGTATGTTTAATTTAAAGTTTTTTACAAGTTCTGATTTAGTTTTGCTCAGAAAAGTTCATACGTCTTGAATAGTTGCTGTGGTACTCCATCTTCAATCTTCAATCAATGAAAGTGCAATTGCCATGAATTACCAATTTACACAAATATTTAAGTTAAACCTGAAAAATTGAAAACCATTCACATTTCTATACCTAAAAATGTCCTTGTACTTCTGGTCCACAAAACTTCCTCGTATTTCTAAACTGATTTCTACATACATGTAAGATAGATTTTTATTGTAAATCCCTCCTGGAGTTGCTTCTTTAAATAAAATGTTATATGTCCTGCTGCTCTGTAACTTTCGTGTGGAACCAGGGAGGTGAGTTTAATTATTGTTGATTGAACTATTAATATTGATTTATCAATCCATAAAACATAACATATACATATTTTAGAATTGCAATAGTCCTTATAGTCACTTACCTACTGTCGCTGAGAGCTGAGGCACAAAGGCGAGGGCCAGCGTCAGGAGGCAGAGCACAGACAGCTCCATGTTGCTCACTGCTGCAGTCACAGATATCACACTCATGTCCAGCCTCTATTTATTCACCTGAAGAGGAGCCTCGGGGTCAGAGGGAGGCTCCGAGTGCCCGCCCACAAACTAAGGACGATATCATCTACACATGAACATAATGTGGAACTCTTACAACAACTCAAATACTGAAAACTGTTTTTATTCAAGGTGAATGGGAAGGGGTAAATGTAACAGGTATCATATTAAATTGAACGTATATGATTTATTTTTTTAGTATTATTTTTCTAAATACTTTTCAATTTGATATTTAAATAATTGATAAACAAAAGAATTTACTGAAAAGAAGGAAAGGGAAACCTGAAGAAATCCAATGTTATTTTGGTTTTGTGTAAACGGTGTTGGCTTGTCCTTTGAACCCGCAGCTATATTTTTCTTTAGCCTTTTACAATATGAGTGGTACTTTGAAGAAATTATTATCTTATTAGATATGGATTACATTCTTTGTTGTCTTTAGATTCCGATTCTTTCTTGAATTGAACCCAAACTGGACTAAGGTTAATGTGGGTATTGTGGACAAGTATTGTGAACACATGTGTTTGATGCATTATTACAACATTCCTGTAAACCCTAACAAGTAAAGTTTACTTGAAAAAACCTTGGAAATAAATTGCATATTAACTTCACTTGAATTACTCGAGTACATATTTTACTTGATATTACCAAGTAACTCAAGCGATTGCAATAAAGTTTAAATTTTGCTCTGACCAGGAGTCAAACTCACAATCTTGAAGTTGAGAGGTGGAGGTGCTACCCACTCAGCCACCGCCTTACCCCATTTCACACCTGTCTTATTTAATACTCTACACGTCAAATGTCAAAAGTGAGGCTTACTTGAACAAAGACAGTTCAATTCAAAGAAAACCCTGAGTGATATCGCCAAGCTTTAAATAAACTAACAATAAATGAGTAATATTCACTTACTGGGAAAAATCTATTTAGAATAACTTTGATATCTGAAGTACGATTGAAGTTAGGGTTTACAGTGTGTGTGTAAGAGGAGACAGACATTGTGGACCAGTTGTTGAAGTATAACATGACTTTTGAGTTTAGGATGAATTAAATGAGAGACGTGATTGGTAAATATGGAAATCTTTATGCCATTCCTTTATTGCAGTTTCATCTGTTTGAGAGACTAGTTTTCATTTGGACATTAATATTTGGGGGATGACTGTAAAGGTTTGGGACGTGCGGCGCCCCGTAGGACATATATGCACCTCGTTCTACTACTGTCTGTCTAAATAAGCAGGTTGACTGCGTCCAAAGGGTTGCACACATTCCCTGATGATGACTTTCTCGGTTAAAACCTTTTGCAAATACAAGAATTGGTTTACTGAATTTGTCCTTAAATTTGGAGGCAGAGGTAGAAAATCCTTTGACAGATAATTCTACCTCACTTGGTGGCAAGGCACACCAGCAAATACGTGGAGCTTAGTGGTGGGATTGTCCTGGCTGAAACGTCTCAGATGAAACAATGTGTGGCAATAAGCGACAGTGCCTTTGGAGTGGCAGACTGGGGCAGTGGTCCCTCTCTTCAAGAAGAGGGACTGGAGGATGTTTTCCAAATATCGGGGATCAGACTTCTCTGCCTCCCTGGTAAGTACTACTCCAAGGTACTCGAAAGGAGACTTTGATCGTGTGACAGTGGGGTGGATCAGGTACTCAAGGGATCCGGAAAAAGAGATGATTCATCTCAAGGGGCCATCCACAATAAATAAATAATAAATAAATAAATTATGGGAGTTTGCCCAACCTGTCCATTTGTGCTTTGTGGATCTGGAAAATGTATTTTATTGGGCGTCTGGTTTGGGGCCACAGCGTTTAATCACCGGTAAATCTATTTTCCCACCCTTCCCTATGGTCTTACGCTTCTGGTTATGGTTGAGGCTGAGTAACGCCTGAGGAGCTCAGAGTAGAGCTGCTGATTTTGCACATCAAGAGGAGCCTTTTGAGGTGACCTGATTGGACCAAATTGGAACTGATTTGAGTGTCTGGGACATAGGTATATATAGGAGTAACTCTAATACTGTAAATAGGAGTAAAATTATTGTCGTTATAAAGTAAATTTACTTCTGTAGTTCAACATACCGTGAACTAATATATGACACAAGTTGAAATACAGAAATCACTTAACTTTAGAGCAAGATTAGTCTGTATATGCATTGCAGAAAACATTCTCCATAAAAAAACGTTTTGTTCATTTCAATACAGATTCTTTGCATAGCAGTTAACACAGCCTCATCCTGGCTCTACTGCCTCAGTTCTGGTTCTTCAGCTTCAGTCCTGGCCCTACAGTCCATGTCCTGGATCTTCAGCCTCAGTCCTGGTTCTACAGCTTGAATCTACAACCTCAGTCCAAGATCTATAGCCTGTTCGTCCAAGAGAGATTACATTTCATAATTTGATTTTCAGATTTCAAATCCCATTTATAGCTCCACATGTGCACATCATACACTCAAATGTGCTGATCATTATTCTGTACTGAAAGGTTACTGTTAACACAAGACTCATTGTGTCATTGTTTGTGCGTTTCGCCCTAACAGCTACTTACAAAGAACAGAGTGTTTTAAAAGAGTGCATTGGCTTCCAATACATATTTGTTAAGATAACAGTGATTACAGTGTGGTTTCAGGTGATGCCTTTCATTAGAGATCTAATAAAGGGTAACACCCAAACGTCTCTTCTGACTGACAGTGTTCTTATATCTGTCGATCTTCTGAAAATTAAAAATTTACTTTAGATTATACTAAAAGCAATCATTGTTCTATAGCAGGGGTGGCCAACCAGTCAAAAACTAAGAGCCAATTTGTTACGTGTACTGCAAGGCCCAATAGCCAATTTGTTCTAGCCGGGCCAAGTAGATACCAAAATAATCTGACGTCGGCGAACGTTAATTCTGATTAGTCAGAGGGGCTGTGAATCACTCTTCAGCTGCTGCGTTGGCTGTTAAGGAAATTATAACAAACATCAACCAATAAAGACAATCGGAATTGACGTTCGCCAACGTCTGATTGTTTTGGTTTGAATCTGAAACAACAATTGGATCCGAGTTTGCTGTGTGTAATGTACCCTAGTCGCTAGCATTTAGTATTTAGCCCAGCTTTAGCTATCTCCTTTGCCACTAACGGAGCCCGTGGGGCACCACAAAGTCTTTTCCAGCAATTACATTTGCCAAACATTCCTCTTTCTCCGGCTTCAATTTCTTGATAGAACCAGAACGGATTACTTTACTATAGCATTTGCCGCCATCACAACCAGGCAATTCAGCGCAAACTATTGACATCACCAACATCTACCTACAACACCCGCCTCCCGTGCTTGCTGATTGGTAGGATAGGATTCAACCAATGTAATTGCAGACACTGGGAGCAGACCCAGACGTTCATGTAGGGTAATGATAATTGACCAGAGTTTACGGATGGCTAAGGCCAAGTCGTTACTAAAAAAGTACTGCCACGGCCCGGGAGCCACATGAGGCTCACAAGCCCCGGGATGGCCACCCCGGCATTAGCAGCATGAGGCTCTGAGACGCAGTGACTCAGTTAAGTGACAGTGACATGTGGTTATTGCACATTCTGATATTGCAACGACGCATCAGTGAGATCAGGTTGGCAGTGTTCATTAGTCCTCATTGTTTGTTGTGCAGTCTGACAGCAGCAGGAAGGAAAGACCTGAGGAACCTCTGCTTCACACATCGAGGATGAATAAGTCTGTCACTGAAGCTGCTCTCCAGAGCAGAGAGAGTGTCCTGCAGGGGGTGACAGTCATGGTCCAGCATTGATGTTAGTTTGCTCAGGACCCTCCTGTCCCCCACCTGCTGCACTGTGTCCAGGGAACAGCCCAGGACTGAGCTGGACTTCCTGATGACCTTGTCCAGCTTCTTCCTGTCCCTCTCTGTGACGCTGCTACTCCAGCAGACCACACCGTACAAGATAGATGATTCTACCAAGGTAATACATCTAAAAATGTCTTTCAAAAGAACCAAAAAAAGCAGGATGGTCCTAAAGTCGGCTCTTGGCCCAACTCTATGTCACCAAAAACAAAACAACTTGGGTAACAAACAGGTTAGGGCTAACTTACCCTCTCGGCCCCCACCTCCCTTTCTTCAAAACGTACCAAATGGTAACAACAGATTGACAGCTTGTAAAGGGTACAAAAACTTAAATTTGAATAATCAGAAGATTGTTTATGTTTATAATTTATCCAATTACCTCCTCTGTGCATTAGTAGTTGACTTTCACAAGAGCCCTTCCCATCGACAGGTCACACTAAATGGACAGGACATTGAGGTGGTACAGTCATACAGATACCTTAGAGTCCACCTGGACCTGGACCACAGACCACATACTAGACTGGTCAGCTCAGGCCAATGCTGTCTATAAGAAAGGTTAGAGCAGACTCTTCTTCCTGAGAAGACCGAGGTCCTTTGATGTCAGCAGTCAGATGTTGCACATGTTTTACCAGTAAATGTATTTCTGTGATGGGGAGAAGTGTGGACTCTGTGGGAGCTGTGCTGGGTAACTCAGTCACCCTCTGCATGACACCATGGCAGCTCGGAGGAGTAATCGTGGATATCACTGCGCTGCCGAACGGATAGTTTCAAGAGATTCTTTGTTCTTTCGGCTGTCGACTGTACAACAGACCTGGATGAGTCTTCTGCTGCTGGACACCTGAATCCATCTATCTTGTGGGAACATGATAGACAAGATGCATATCTTTTTCTTTTGTGAACTTAGGGGTTAAATGTATGCTGTTCACTTTAATTAAACTAAAAGAAACAGTCTGAATTATTTGTCTTTAGTGGACATGTGTAGAATTAAGGAAGCTTTGTATAAGAACAGAACGTCCTTGTGAAGTTGAAAGAAGTTCTACAACCGTGAATATAAGACACTGTACAGGCATGACCACAAGGGGGCGGCGTGAGACTCCATGTGACCACATAATCCAATTTCAACACATTA